AAATGCGTGGCAGTAACTGGGCATTTGATCCAATTGAGGGGTTCGAAATCCATACAGTAAAGAATGACCCTTTTAGGTAGTTCATCTTACATTCCACTTCCTGAATTTCTCGCAAATAAAAAGGCGATTACTAACATGAAAAACAATGACCAAGAATGTTTCAAGTGGTGTGTGACGCGTGCGTTACATCCTGTGACAAGTCATCCTGAACGAATCACAAAAATATTGAGAAAGCAGAGTGAAAAGTTATGCTTTGAAGGATTGAAGTTCCCGTTATCGTTACGTGACATTGACAAATTCGAGAAGTTCAACCCTACTCTGCGTGCAAATGTACTTGGATATGAAAGCAAGATTTATCCATTGAGAGTAAGCGAGAATAAAACTGACTCGGCTTTGCAAGAGATCAATCTGTTGTTGATATCTGACGATGAGAAAAGCCATTATTGTCTCATCAACGACATGAGTAAGCTGTTGTCTTAGAAATCAAATTAAAAGAACCAAAAGTTTTTCTGCCTTCGATGCTTGAATTGTTTTGGGAGAAAAGACTTGCTGGACAAACATGAAGAGTATTGTAAAGACAATGAGACGGTAAAAATCACCATGCCAAACGAAAGTTCGTTCCTCTATTTTAAACATGACCACAAAAAGATAGACATGCCTTTTGTCATCTATGCCGATTTCGAGTCTTTGATAAAACCGATTGACACAGCTCAACCAAATCCTGGAAAGAGTTACACTAATCTTCAAAGTCATAAGCCCTCGATTTTTTGTCACAACGTTCATTGCTCGTTTGATGAAAAATGTTCCAAAAAAAATCAGTTCCACAGCAACCTCTGAAGATGAAGACGTCGCCCAAATATTTGTCAAAGCGCTTGAAAAAGAGGTGAAAGACATCTGTGAGTTATCAAAAAGAAATGAAAATGTCAGAGACATGATTATCTCAAAAAAAAGAAATGAATGAGTATGAAAAATCCACGACTTGTTGGATTTGTGTTGGGCGATTCAGCAATGATCACATGAAAGTTCGAGATCATTGTCATTTCTCTGGAAAATTTAGAGGTGCAGCACATCAATCATGCAACCTCAAATGCAGAGTTCCAAATTTTGTACCCGTTTTCTTTCACAACATGAGTGGTTATGACGCTCATCTCTTCATCAAATCTCTCGCTGAGACATGGGGAAAGATCGATTGTATTGCCAGCAATGAAGAAAAATACATCAGTTTCTCAAAGCAAGTAAAGGTCGACACAGTAAAGGTCGACACAAGAGTCGATGGGGGGAGGGGGAGGTGAAGAAAAACATGCGACATTTGCATTGCGCTTTGTTGACAGCTTGAAGTTTATGGCGTCAAGTCTTGAACAACTGGTTTCCAATCTGGCATCAGATTCACAGAATAGATTCAAAACGATGCAAAAGTATTACAAAGGCAAAAAAGTCGATATCTTTTGCTGAGAAAAGGAGTTTATCCTTATGAATACATGGATAAACTTGACAAGCTAGATGAAACTGAATTACCACTGAGAAGTGCTTTTTTCTCTTCACTCAATGGAGAATGCATTTCTGAAGAATATTATGAACATGCAAAAAAGGTGTGGAGAGTTTTTGGTTGCAAAACAATGAGAGATTATCACAATCTCTACAACGAAACAGATGTGTTGCTTTTGTGTGATGTCTTTGAAAATTTGCGTGATGTTTGCAGAAAAAACTATGGTCTCGACCCGGCTTGGTATTATACTGCGCCTGGGTTGGCTTGGGATGCATGTTTGAAAAAGACAGGAGTGAGACTTGAAATCCTATCTGACCCAGACATTTTGTTGATGATTGAAAAGGGAACTCGTGGTGGGATTTCAACGATTTCAAATCGATATGGTCGAGCGAACAATAAATATATGGGTGAAAAATTGGACAAGAATGAACCATCCAAATTCATAACATATCTCGACGCAAACAATCTTTATGGTTGAGCAATGGCAAAGAAACTTCCAACACAAAATCATTCGTGTTTTTCAGAGATTCGTTTGTTATACCCAGAAGAATTGCATGACTTGCACAATGATTATCCTTGGCTCCTGAGAGAAAAAAGATTGACAATGTGGAGAAGTTGATTCCCAACGTGAATGACAAAGAAAAATACATTCTTCATGTTGAAAATCTCAAGTTGTATCTTCAGTTAGGGATGAAACTCACAAAGATTCACAGAGGGATAAAATTTCAAGAGAATGATTGGATGAAAGAATACATCGACTTGAACACCAGATTGCGCTCAAAAGCCAAAAATGAATTTGAAGAAGATTTTTTCAAGTTGATGAATAACTCAGTCTTTGGAAAGACCATGGAGAATCTGAGAAATCGGATTGACTTGCGATTGGTGAACAATGAGAAGAGTGCAAAGAAGTTGGCAGCAAAACCAAATTTCAAGAATTGCACCATCTTTTCTGAGAATTTGGTGGCGATGAACATGAAAAAGACTGAGATAATATTTGACAAGCCTGTTTATCTTGGGATGAGCATTCTGGATTTGAGCAAGACATTGATGTATGATTTTCATCATAATTACATTAAACCAAAATACGGTGAAAGAACCAAACTTCTTTTTACTGACACTGACAGTCTCTGTTATGAGATTAAGACTGATGATTTCTTCAAAGACATTGCCTCTGATGTAAAGACAATGTTTGACACGAGTAACTTTGATGTGAGTCATCCTTCTAGAATAAAAACTGGACAAGATAAGAAAGTCATCGGGATGTTCAAAATTGAGACTGGTGAATCAATAATCACAGAGTTCGTGGGGTTAAGAGCAAAGTTGTACAGTTATAAATTGTTTGAAGGTGATGAAAGCAAGAAATGCAAAGGTGTGAAAAAAATCGTTGTGAAGAAGATTACTCAAGATGATTACAAGAAATGTTTGTTTTCAAAGAAAAAACAGCTTCGAAAGATGCATGTCATTCGAAGTCAAAAGCATGAAATTTTTACACAAGAGATAAATAAAGTCGCTTTGTCGGCGAATAATGATAAACGTGTTATAATGGATGATGGGATACACACATTGGCTTATGGGCATCACTCTTTGAGTGATTAAAAGTAGACACCCTTGAAATTTTCAACTCATGAGTCGTGAGTTGAAAAACGTTTGATGTGAGGGACAAAATCGTTAATTTAACGATTTTGTCCCAGACTCATGAGGACTCATGAGCGTGAGTAATCTGATTTGCCGTTAAATTAACGTAGATGTTCGATAATTTAACGATTTTGTCCCAGAACCCGCCTTTCTACACTACTGTTACAGAACATTTTTGAAATAGGATTAAATAAATGTGGAGTGGTCGTACAAAAATCGCTTTTGAAAAAAAGGTATTTAGAAATAAAAAATTCAGAGACACGGTTTTGTTGTTTATATGTAAAACTAGCTACTGTCAAAATTTGAGAGCAATCGAACAAATTCCCTTTGACTTGTAACTCTTAAAAGGTGATTTGGGCGTTCGCATTTAGAAGTCGTGAAAAATTCGACAATTAATTTTTTTTTCAAAATTTTTGGTATAGTCTGATAGCCAGTCCTATAAACTTTAATTTGATATCGGGGTTTAGATATCTACAGTTTAAACCTGACGCGCTACATCGCTTGCACGCGAGACACCCCTGAAGGTGCATGGTAACCTTAAGTCAGATTAGAAGTTACATCAATAAAAAGTATCGTGGGATTTGATATCACTAATTGATATCGCTTAAAAGAGTTGATGTTACGTCATGTGCAGGTCAATAAATTTGAATATGTGAAAATCATGTAGGGGAAATATATGAAATATATGAAAGCGATCTCGATATATATATATATATATATATATGAAATATATAGAGTCATTTGAGCCGATTAAGCCAAGTAATTTGATTCAATCTTTAAAAAGCCCGATTTCCTTCCTCGGAGGCCCCCAAATTTTTGCAAAACAAACAGTCACGTTTTTTTTTAACCATTTAGCTGTCTTAATATGCAAGATATGTCTGGCTAAAATTTCATCGGGAAAAACGTTTGGCCTGCGATAGCAGGAATTTCCTCGTCCATCTGACTCTTTATTTGCGAGGAAAACGAATTTTACCGTCGCTTTTGTTCAAATGTCTGTGAATGTATGAAAATCATCGATGTGTACTGCGGTACAGAACTGAAGTTTTTTTCAGGCGTTATTTTCACCATTAAATAAGTAGCGTCCATTACTGCGAGGACCGCTTTCATATATTTCTTAAAACCGCTGTACACCTACATGATTTTCTCATACTCAAATTCATCGACCTGCACATGACGTAGCATCAACTCTTTTAAGCGATATCAATTACTGTGATGTGGCCATCCCCAAACTAGGGAAGATTTATAGAAGTCAATCCTTACAACCTTACTTTGTAATGTTCAATCTGCGTTCATCCTCATCTTTGAAAATCGTTGTTCCCTCCTCTTATAACATTGCTTGTTTACTATTGTTATATCCTCTTACGTTTAGAACCTAAGCCCCTCTCCAATGTAATTACATTTTTTCGGGATGCAATGATCCAAGTCAGGAAGGGGACAGAGGGATGCTCTTGGTATGAGTCCTCAGTGGGGTATTTCATGGAACCTTGATCTAATATTCAGAAAAAAAAATAATGATGGTTTGAGCGTAGTCACTAGTTTTGGTGACGAAAATGACCAAGAAAAGAAAGTAATCGTATTTCAGGAGCGAGAATTCACACTGTGGACGATGAGGGGAATATCCATTCCCGTCTTCAACCCCCCTTGTTTGGCCTTTATTTTTTTTGTGCGAGCAAGGAAGAGAGGAAGGGAAACGGCTCGTGACATGCAAAATTTACCAACAAGAGCCTAAGATAACTTGAGTCTAAATAATTAGTTTCTTCAATTTCATTTGTTGTTTAAAGATGTAAAATGATAGCCGTTATGATTCCGCTTTTGAAACCAAACTCATTTGTTCGGTACAAGACTCAAACCTATATTCATACTCTCTCATGTTATCCAGGAAACACGAATGGCGCGTTTGTACTTTTCCCTGACGTATCACAATACAGATTTAGTCTGAGAAATCAAATTCCATTAGATCACGAGGCCATAAACGTGTATCACCTGACACTTAAGGCTACCAATCAGGGAACAAAGAAATCAAATGAAGTCAATGTGACAATTCACATTTTAGATGATAACGATAATCCACCGATATTCCATAACAGGTGAGGTATCATGACTTGGCTTGTTTCATTTTTCTATCTCTTTCACCTCAAAGCAGCTATTTAAGCTGAACCTTAACCTTTTTGGTTGGAACACCTTAGGATTTTTATCGCATTTAGGGCTTTTTTCCCGCCTTTTCCTTCAAGAGCTGTCATACAGCGAGCTACTCGACTAATGAAACTTGAAAAGTTGGAAAAAACATTCTTATTTTAATCTCACTTGTAGGACTGAAAAAATATCTGTCAAGGAAAACATAGCAAATGGAACGTTCATACATCAAGTGAAAGCGATCGATAAAGACTCTGGGAACAATGCGATAATAAAGTATAGTCTACTGTCAAGGGAGTATGATGACAACTTCTTTATTGACGCCCTATCTGGAAATGTCTCTATCAATGGAAACCTAAATCACGAAAGCAGGAATGAGTTTACACTACTAATCCAAGCAACAGATGGAAAGTTTCGATCAAACATGACCTTATTAATAACAATATTGGATGTGAACGAATTCCAACCCGTGTTTTATCCACAGTATTCTAAAATTAACATTTCAGAAATGGCTTCAGTGGGTACACTGATCATTCGAGTGAATGCCACAGATAAGGACTCTGGAAAGGATGCCAGAATACATTATAAAATCACTAGCGGTAATGTTAATGGCACTTTCAGCATCATTGAAACAAATGGAACAATTTTACTCCAAAGATCATTGGATTATGAGAAACGTAGTGGTTACCAACTTCTTGTAGAAGCCTCCGATGGTAAATTTAATTCAACTGCGAATGTCTCGATTCAAGTCGAAGACGTCAACGACAATGCTCCGTATTTCACGAAAAAACTTTTCACAGCTACCATCTTAGATGATTTTCCCATAGGATCTGTGGTAATGAATGTGACAGCACTGGACAACGATAGTGGCTCTAATGGACACGTCACGTATTCGTTAGCGGAAAACCCACATCCGTTTGGTATCATTCCTGCAAGTGGAGCTATTGTTACTTTGAGGAAACTTAAACTGAACGCATCCCGAGTGGAATACAGACTTTCAGTCATCGCAAGTGACAATGGTATTCCAAGTAACCAAACGTGCGTGAACGTCCTGATTATCGTGGAAGATGCAAACGACTCCCCTCCGGTGTTCAAGGGTTGCGGAGTCAATAGCATAGCGAGGTCAACCAAACCAGGACAGCATCTCTTTAAAGTCTCGGCTTCCGATGCTGATTATGGATCCAATGCTAACATCACTTACTTTATTGATCATGGATCATCCTCAGAAATGTGTTCTTCAAACTCAAACATGTTTCAAGTAGATGGAAATGGAACAATTAGCAACATAAAGGAGCTGGAAGAGAATATTCTCTATAACATAACCATATGTGCCACGGACGGAGTGGAGTTTGATCGGTGCACAGTAGCTTTAAGTGTCAATCTGCCTGAGGAATCCACTGCCGGAGCAGGGAAAGGTGAGCTAGCTTTCCTAAACAACACCTTCATTCTAGGGTTACGGCTTACGCTGGTACAATCTGTAAATCAAAAGTGTTTTTCAGTTATACCTTCCTGCACTAAACCATTGTTCACAACTCTGTGAAGTAGAAAAAGGTCACTTTCCCACCACGCAACAGAGATAGATGAAGCGTTAAAGTTGATAAAGGGTTTGTTCTGGACCTCAATCCACTACACTTTGTTTCTCAAATGCTTGCAAAAGCGTCGAGACCTACACATCTTACAATGGGTTGATACCTATGCTTGTATGTTAGTGAGAACATATCGTCTGCGAAAAAGGCTAATGAGTAGGCGGGGGCCATGGAGCAAAAGAAATGCTTCGAAATTAGGGAGATACATCCAGGAGGTGACAGGGCGCAATTTTCTTTTCCGTCACGCATTATCGTCAACTAAGTGAAAGTTTCAATTTTATTGAAAGCATGTGGAATGTTTTTTCAAGGCAAATATTTAAAACATTTCTTAAAACCTTACGAACGAGCGCAGGACACTCACCATTTAACAAAAATCGCCTTATTTCAAATCCATATTCGTAAGAGTTGTCTTTTAGTTTCCAGCTTGAAAAAATCATTGCAAATGATTCATACATGTCATCCAGAATTACATACGAAAAAAAAACATAAAAACCTCGGGTGACAATCGATGGATAAGTTTAGTCACCGTCTGAAACGTAAAAAGGCTTCAATTAAGTAACACTTTGCCGTGACGAAGCCCTGAGAAAGTAAAAAACGTTTTTTTTTTTATTCACCTTTTGCTCATATGACGAATCTTGGAGCAAGAAAAATAGAAACCTTGATTGGCAAAAAAAAAATCGATAACTACAGTTACCCGCTTCTGGAAAGTTAACAAACTTCTAATTAAGTTTGACTCTGTCGTGGCGAAGGCATCAAGGGTGGTTGATTAAAAGCATCGAAACTGAATTGACCTCACTATCTACGGGCTGGGAAAACAAAAACATATTTTGTTCATCTGTTATCACACAACGTATTTTGAAGCCACTCCTACTATCGAGGAAAAAAAGTACAATTTTAAAACAGATACCTGACATTATTCCGACTCATTTTCTTTTTCTGTCTTTAGTTGATTCTTCAAAGACGTTGAAAATTTTAGTGACCGTTGTATGCGTCACCTCAGGCTGTTTGATTTTGGGTCTATTCTTAATTTGGTACTTCCGCCGGAGAAGAGAAAGGTGTGTGATAAATTTTGTTTTCTTAATCTAAGGAAAAGGTCTCCACGAGAAGTTGGATTGAAAAATATTCAAAAAGAGCAATAGTCGAGAAGTGTCAAATCTGAGTGCGTAATTCAGTGGCCCCATATACCTAAAGGGGTCTAGACAATTAAATTCTTCAAAAACATCTGCTATTTGTAATTTTTTTTTTCCGATTGACAGTGGTTATTCATTGGCAAAGAAACACGGAAACAAGGCTGAATCTCGGTTGTAACAATTTCCGAGATGTAATGAAAACAGAGTGCGGCAGAAGGACGGGATCCGCAGAATACGGAACCAGTAGTCAGCGTTTTTTCATGTAAACTAAAAACGGCTAAGGATTAATTTAAGGTTAAGCGGTAGCAGTAGGATGGCAAATGAAATTTACGTTTAAGAATTTTTTTTCAGTTTCCGTTGTGTAGATTACAGATAAAAATATCCCTCTAAACAATTACTATCAGCTGGAAAACCTTAGTACGCCACAATGCGATGCAATCCCGCTTTTAAGGTTTGTGTGCAAGCAGATGGTCCTTTTATCTCTGTGAAAATATGAACTTCTTGTTATGTTTTTACGTTTGAGTCTGAATAGTGACCCATTGAAATACTGTAGTTTGTGACGCGGAATGTCAGAATATTCCATAACGCGGAATGCTATGCTGTATGAAACAAAATTCTTAAAAAAGGATTTGCAATGAAATAAAATTATTTCTAATCGACAAGAGAAATTAAAAGAAGCACAGGTAGGTAATCATTGTTGGGGCCCGGAAGACTAGGAAACCATGGGGCTTTCGGCCAAGCTAATCACTTTAAATAATTATTATACTGCTATTGTTATCATTATTACAGTTGTTTAGATCATTTTTTGTTACCTTTTAATCATTGGTTGAATGTCAATTAGACAATAAATTCTTGACTCATCTTTGTCTTGTGGAACAAGGTACACATAAATTTGTGGGCTGCGGCATGTTTCCTGTTTTGCATGTGAGACAAATATTTAGCAACACTACCTTCCACCATCATTGCACAACCTGTAGCTCTTTTCAATGTCGACCGAAGGGTCTCGGTTATTTTAAAAGCTGTTTATTATATGGCTTACAAACTAACGAAACGAAAAATTTATTCAAGCGGAAGTCATCAGTTTACATCCGGAGATGCACGCTTTTGACTATTCATTCATCGCCTCAAACCCACAATAAAACTTCGCAATCAGTGAATAACACCATTTTATCACGTATTCTGTCGAGAAACCTTTATTTTCGAAAAAAAAGGATTTCAGCAAAGTGGTCTCAAACCTTAAAGAGAGAAAACTAAATGTCCAACACTAAGTAATCAGAAATACTGCTTCTGACAAAAACCGCTCGATTGGTTACATCTGATGTTCCTGGAGGCTGATTTACACTTAGTTGTTTCATAACGAGTGAATCTATTACTGCGAACTACTAAGCTAACAGTGAAAAAAAAAAGTAACTTTCGGTAATTTTTGAGATTGCTATATTTTATTGAGGCATTCTGCTGAGAATGCATGACGGCCTCTTTACAAAATTTAGTCAGATAATTTTCGTTTAAATGTTATCATGTTAGGGACAGCTTTTCAATGTGAATTTTTTACGGTTTCTTATCGTATATAAGACGTGAGTACGAAAATAATATTTGTTTGTTCACCTTGTCATTGAATTGAGTGTATTCCTTCTGCCCGTTAATAGGCCTTCATAGTTTTCATGCGTTCGAAATTTCACGGAGTAAAAATAGCCGCCGTAATTGTCTAACGTTTTATGCCCATTCTTATTTGCATAATCCATAATCGGCCCGTGGGTATTGACGCTGTATAACGCCTCGCTAGGCCGCTCTGATCTCACTCTTAACCAATCAGAGCGCACGTTATATCGACAACAAGCCTAAGCCATTTCATTAATAACTTCTAATAGTCAGTTGTCTTGGCTTTGGCAGTCAGTGGTTGACTTTTAGATCAGAAGTATTTTAAAAGTACCTGCTGGTGAGATTCTTGAGGACAAATTTGGGTTTCTCTTTCGATAAGTGATGTTTATTATCCCAAGGTCTACTCTTGTTTAAACATTTAATGAATGTAAACGGGGAAATTATAATTCACTGACCCAATCATTTGACACTCCCGTCTAATGCCTTCATCAGGGGTGATCCAACAAGAGGTCCCTTTATATGCTCACTAATAAGCTGTCCTTTCTCTTGACGAGGTGTAAATAGGTGTCAGGTAGTAAGCCGCCATAATCATTATCCGCGTGGGCGCAGTTGATATGCCAGCGACTGGATGTGCTGTTATTCCTTACATCCAGGGTGTTACGGAGGCCATTAAGAGAATTTTGAATAAACACTATTAAAACAGAGTCGCATCAAACCATGTGTGATTGTCCAGCTGGTTGCTGCGTGAACTTTTATTTACACTGTATCAGATTGCTTCCCGCCTTCAAAGTCTTCGGCAAAAAACACTCGACCTACCGGTATAAATGATTGAATTTTCCCCTTTCAATTCCACAATGAAGCTCAAGGCTACTCTAGAACTTTCTTAAAAATGTGTTCGAATATGCAAAGAAAAACAGACGCCCTCCGCTAGGTTAAGGAATGGGATATTGTAAACAACTTCGCCATGGGAAATGGACGAGAATTTGAAACGAAAGCTGGGATAAAAACCAATCTGTCGGCGTTAGCTATGCAAGGCTAGATTATTGTATTGATTTCCTGATCGGACATGGTGGGATTCCGGAGTTAACCACAGGGTGCCTAATTAGTTTATGTCTTGAAGTAAATGCCGATGTTTCGATTTTCACCAAGTTCAGCCTGGTTTTTGAGTGCGGAAATGAAAAGCTCAAACTCATTTTTATAAGCTGGAAAACAACACTATTTTCACTTATCATGAGCTTCACCTGAACCGATTCTGAGTTATACCGTATGGAGAAAATGATAATTGAAAATTTGCCACGAATGCGATATTTGAATTTTGAATATTGGTGATTTTCAAAAGCGTTTCGTTAGCTCTAAATTAAATGAAATGGTCCCGTTTTAGACCTAACCATACCTCTATCCTTCTTATACAAATTTATAAAATTGATACGCGCTTGCTTTCTTTTGCGCTTTTCATGAGCAAAGTTCATTTGCTTCTACTCGGGGCACTGATCTCCGCCATTTTACGGCTACCGACGCTCGTTTCAATTTTTTGTGCATTCTAGGATAAAGAAGCAAGTCTGGGAAAAAAAAAGCCTTACCACGTTTCTATGTTCAATATAAGGTGTCTCTGACTGAAATATGAGGATGGTTATTTTTTCGGTCGATGTGCCACCTCACGCGGTCTTGAAAAGAAGTCGCTCTTAAGCAGGAGTGAAAATAAGACCTGAAAAATATTCAGGCCTGTACGGGATTCGAATTCATACTCTCTGCGATACCGGTGCAGTGCTCTACAAACTGAGCTAATGAGCCAAATGGGAGCTGGTCATTGTTTTGGTTCGTAATAAACCCGTAAAGTGATGAGTTAACGCTTGTGATTATATGAAAGTCATGTATGAACTGCGGTTGAAAAAAAATTAGTGTGAGATCGATCTTCACAGAATGGGCACTACTTAAGGCCACAACTTAAGGCCCGAAGGACACTAAGGACACTACTTAAGGCCCGAAAAAATTCAGTCTTTTCAACCTAAGAGTGCAATTTTGTTTTAATGTACTGAGCAGAATCACTTTCGTTGTATATTGTATCAACTGCTACAGCGTTAGGGCAACTTTCAGGGAAGCCAGATGACGTTCCGCAACCCCTTAGTGATGAAAACGATCTTATTCGTTTAAGTTCCTTATCTTTCCTGTTCACTGCTAATGCCTTACAAGCATAGAAGCAAGGAATATCCTAGTATTCACATAATTTTTCGTGACAATGAGAGGGTATTTGTTTTCATGTTAGATTACGAGCAGAGATTACTTGGATTGTTTTAGTTTCATTCTGATCATCTACAAGCGCTTGTAAATGGTAAGAAAAATCCAATTTAGCTGTTGTTCTGTCCAATTGTCAGAAAAGTTTCATCACCCGTTGTCAGTTATTCTTGCCGACCTGACATTCTCAAGACTTTTTCGTTGGAAATGCCGTTTCGATGAAGTCATAAATAACTCTAGTAGACCCAACATACTACTCAAACATTTCCCTGTCCATGGAGATTCGTTTCGCAAAAAAAAATTTTTCACTTTTCGATAGCAACCGTTTTAGAAGCATGATTTGTCGGCTAGCAGTGCTTGTAATTATTAAGATCCAGCTCAGACGTCGCGTTTCTGCCGTGTCGAAGTCAATTCAGAAATTAAGTTTGACAAAAGTGGAGGTCTCGTTTTAACAACAAAGGTAGCACATGTCTCCTGAGGATTTTAGAAACCTAAAAAAACGTCAGCATATTCTCCCATAGTGGCCTCATAGATTCAGTCATGATTTTGTTTACGTAACGAAGTGGAATTAAGTTTTGAGGTTTGTAGGTTAATTGTCTTTTCTAAGGCGAGTGATGTGAAATTAACTCTAGGGAAGCATTTTACATGAACATTTTTGGTATTTTGTGTACCAGTACACGTGGACAAAACGTTGCAGAGGGGCCGGGACATTTGGGAAATGATGTAATCTACATTAGAAGCCACTGGGAGCTTGATTTGGTTCGAATGTATGACGAATTTTGGACAATACGTACATGTAAAGTATCACAAAGCTGAGCGTAGGTTTCTATTATCTATTATAGTTCACCACTAAATTTTCTCCGATTCTTATTGGTTTAAATTGATCATGTGACGCGATAGTGTTCATTCGTGGAGAGACACTATCAGCCCATAGTGCCCGTCCGCGGAAAATACTCGTATGAATAGTACCCATCTGCGAAAAATTTTGAATGGTTTGACGGCCGCGAAGTTAGGCAGATCGGGAAAACAGTGACTTTTCAATTCTGACAGGTATAACGTATTATTTATACAATGTGCGGTTGTGAATTATTGACATTTGTGACAGGCTATGCACATGAATAAATATTTGATAGATCTGCATGAAGTGGGTTTTGACTGTTTTTCACCTTGTGCGCGGAAGAATATTTGGTGGTGAACAATAAAGACAGTAGAGCGTTTATGCCTCGGGACTATCGGTCAGATAGTTGCCCCTTAGAAATTTGATGTTCATAAAACTAGCATATTTGCCCTCGAAGCTTCGCCTCTCGGGCAAATCATTATTGTTTTAAGAACATCAAATTTCGGCGGGGCAACTATCAGCCGATAGTTCCTCGACAGAAACACCCAATTGTTTAATTAGAGCACAAAGTTCTATTTTAAGTTGGCTGAGAGCAAAACAATTACTATAATTATTATACTTGGGTTTGACTGTATTTTCAATAAAGAACACAGAAAAATTCAGTCGAGGTAGGTGGATATGGGGTTGCAAATGGAAAAATTTAGAGAAAATAGATAGGTGCATAACAAGATCAGAAGCCTAGCAATATTTGATTACGAAGAGAATTTAGAAGACTGCCAAGCTGACAGGAAGTCATGAAATGTTAAGGTCTAAATAATTCTGGCATATATATTAATCAAAATAAATGTGATTCCATTTTAAACTACCACTGAAACAATGAAATTTTTGATATTTTATTACATGCAGTGTATTATTGGGTACTTGCAGCCCTAATACTGAAATAACATGTTGAAAAAGCAATTTTGTGCAAATTGACAACAGGGTCAATGGAGGGGAAGAGAATTTTGGATTATTCCATGACAAAGATGATATTTGCTTTACATTTGTCCTGAATTTTTTCTTACAAATGTCATCTTTAATGCATTTGTCCTTGTTTAGAGCAGGACAAATCATGATATTTAACTCAGATTTACAACACATTTGTCCATATTTACACCCAAAAGCAAATGCACAATTATCCTATTTCTCATTAGGACAAATGTCATATTTGTCTTTAAGTCAAATACTGACAAATATGACAAACATCACATTTGAACCACATTTGGACTGCACTTGTCTGACTTCAAATCTATTTTTCGCCCAGTAAAAGCAATGTGTTTACGAGTGGAAATGTATTTTTTGAATCGTTTGTATGTGCTGTCACATGCATGAATACTAACTCCTGTATGACAATTCTTGGCCCATTCAATGAGTTCTTCTGTGGGTATTTTTGGTGGTTCTACAACGAACTAATATAATTGATTTTTTAATTTATCGTAATAGCTCGTAATCATATGTTTTGAATCCATGTTTGCCTTTCACTTGATCCCACACATAATCAAGGACACAAGAGTCTGTGAAATTATTTGATAACTCTTTGTTTGCTCAAAAGAAGGTTTCCAGGCTGTAAAGATCCCATCTTCTATTTCTCAAATCTCTTGTCCACATATTCGATAACTTTACAACCACTCCTCTGAATGTATTCACTTGATAGAGCATTAAAATTCTTCTTCAATAATGTGTACATTATAAATTTATACATATCAAATGAACTCAATTTCTTCATTCTAACTGTAAGAGGACCATAAGTTTTCAGCGCATAAGCCTGTTTCAGTTCTTTATTTTATTACTTTTTTGAAAAGAACATTGAACTCTTCAACGTCATTTTCATCTTTTTCTAATAGGCATCTGTCATCACCTGTTGCTACTTTTACTTTGATGACAACTGATACAGTTCTTTTCGCAG